GGGGCGCGCCCGGCCGCGGGCGTGGGCGCCCCCCCGGCCCCGCCAGCCAGCATCCCTCGCTGCTGCTGCAGAGCTGGCCACGGAGATGTGCAGCCAGCTGCATGCCAGCCTCCCCCTCCCCTGGGCAGCCGGCCGGGTGGCATGCGCACCCCGCATCACTTACCTGTAAAGCCCCCCGCAGAGGGGCACCCCTGCTCTCACCCCCTGACCCTGCACCTGGCTGCGCTGTGCCACCTGGGGCCGGCAGCAGCCCCCGCTCCCTCAGCCCCCAGCCATCTTCGCCAGTCCTGCCACACAGCCCCTAAGACCCACTTACCTCTAGGATCCAGGAGCGAAGGGCATAGCTCCGCAGTGATAGCACTTGCCCGCAAAGCCCCCTCTGCCCCCCAGCCAGCACACAGCCACCACCACCCTGCACCGCCGCAGACCCATGCAGCCGGTCGCGGGGCATAAGCAGCAGTGCAGTGGTGGCCACTGCATACAAGCCCCCCTTTCCACCCCCCGGCTGGGTGGCATGTATGTGGCCCACACACGGTGGTTGCCACCACACTGCTGCTGCTGTGCCCTGCGCCACTTGCCCACAAAGCTGTGCGGGTGGCCATGGGATAGTATTGCAGGGTGCAGTGGCAGAGTTGCGGTGGCAGTCTCCATATGCGAACCCTGTCAGGTTGGCCAGCGTGTGTGGCCCACAGAGTGGCACCCCTGCCCTCACCCGCTAGCCCTGCTCCTAAGAGTGGGCACAGAGGCACACTCCCCCGCTTCTTGTTCTACCTCCCAGCACCTTCCCTTTCCCCCACCCTGCCCCGCCCCTTCCCCCCACACACACTTACCTGCTGGGGGGAGTGTCTGTGTGTGCCTCTGTGTCTGCATGTCTGTGCCTGTGTATCTGTATCTTGAGGGCTGTTGTGAGGGGCATCAGCAGGGCTGTTGAGGCTGTGCGGGGGAGTGCGGGACACCAGCAGTGCTGGGGGGGCGGGGTCCTTTAATTTTTATCACGGATTTGGGGGTTTTAATCAGAGAATTTGCTATTTTTAATCAGAGAAAACCAGGATCCCTGGTTATCAGGCAGTGCCTTTGTGAAATCAAGAATTCTTCGTTATATCTAAATATACTAATTTGTGTATCCACATCCTAAGATAACCTATTGTGAGGTAAATGACAGTGTGGACTTAAGGCACATCAGGTATTCCACAGTAACTTCCTGAGAGCACACTTGCTTCACGGTAAATGTTAGATAGCTTTTCCCTTGGCGAAAGTGGAATAAGCTATCTCTCAACTTCCTGCACTGTAAGAATATGCACCCAGAGCCACTGACATACTACTCAGTGTAAATTTGCACCCCATCTTATTTAGTGGTAACATGTTCATGAGCCCATAGTCTTAAATGCACTGAAGCTTTGTCATTACCCAAGGAGAAGATGAACAAGGTATCTGGCTCCCTGAAATACTTTTTCCTTTCCAGGAAAAGCTCAATAGCTCTTAGCTACCAAGTGGAACCATATACATTCTGAAGTCCAACTTCTGAGTGGCCAGGGGATGGATGCCATATTCATAGATGCTAGGGTCAGAAGGGACTTCAACAGATCATCGAGTCCAACTCCCTGCCTAGGCAAGAAAGAGCGCTGGGGTCAGATGCCTATAAAGCCTTCTCTTAAAGACCCCCAAGGTAGGGGAGAGCACCACCTCCCTTGAAAGCCCATTCAAATTTTGGCCACCCTTACCGTGAAGAAGTTTTTCCTGATACCTAGCCTAAATCTGCTCTCTGTCATTTTGTGACCATTGTTCCTTGTTACCCCAAGAGGCGCCCTGGTGAACAGAGCATCTCTGATCCCTTGCTGCACCCCCCTAGTGAATTTGTAGGCGGCCACAAGATCACCTCTCAGCCTTCTCTTGCTGAGGCTGAAGAGGTCCAGGTCCCTCAGTCTCTCCTCACAGTGGTTCTCCTCTAGACCCTCTCAAGTCTATCAACATCCTTCTTGAAGTACGGCGCCCAAATCTGGATGCAGTACACCAACTGTGGTCTGACCAATGCCACATATAGGGGAAGTATCACCTCCTTGGTTCTATTTGCCAAGCGTCTGCTGATGCACGATAAAGTGCAGTTAGCTCTGCTGATGTCTTTCGTCTTACTGACTACTCGTGTTCATCTTGGAGTCCACTATAACTCTGAGATCCCTTTCCGCTTCTGTGCTGCTGAGAGGATCACTTCCCAGCCAGTAGGTGTGCTGGATATGTTTGCACCCTAGGTGCAGCACTTTGCACTTGTCCTTGTTGTACTGCATCCTATTGTGTACTGCCCACTTTTCTAACCAGTCTGCCTGCAATCGTTCCCTACCCTCTGGAGTGTGCACTTCACCCCACAATTTAGTATCATCCACAAACTTGGACAGAGTACACTTCATGCCCCCATCCAAGTCACTGATGAAGATACTGAAGAGTACAGGTCCAAGTACCAAACCCTGCAAGACCCCACTACTCACACCCTTCCAAGTCAATACCGACCCATCTACTACCACTCTCTGGGTGCGACTGCTAAGCCAATTTGCCAACCACCAGACCATGTAGATATCTATATCACAGCCTCTTAATTTATTTATGAGAATGGGATGAGATACCGTATCAAAGGCCTTGCTAAATGACATCCTGCACCTAAGCATTTTGTGAACCTGTCATAAAATGAAACCAGATTGGTCAGGCATGATCTACCTGCTACAAATCCATACTGGTCTCCCTGCTGCATTATTTTTCCCACTGGACTCCCCCAGATACGATCCTTCATAATCTTTTCAAAGACCTTTCCAAGGATGGAGGTAAGACTGACTGCAGATGGATGCCATATGGGCTGTGGGCCCCCAGGGCCTCCCTACCCATGCAGGTCCCCCTCCTACCATGCTGCCCTGCACCAGAGGCCCTGGCTTCCAGAGCAGCAGGAGCAATGGGAAGGAGCAGCAGCTGAGCAGGAGCCTGCAGACCACATATTAATGCCTTGTGGACCACCAGTTAGGCAGCCCTGTACTAGAGGATAAGCAATTCGAAGACGGATTCCTGAACTGAAATGGTATGGTTTTTCCTTTGTATATCATGTATTCATGCTCAACATGCATCAGTCTCTGCCTGACCTGATCTGAATAATTGCTACCATCAGTGACCTACCTAGGGTGGGCCCTTTCCCCTGGTGCTGCTTTATAGCGATGTGCAAGAATGCTGGCTGCTGGGGAGCCATGGCAGCAGTAGCCCTGGTGCAGGAACCTGTGCCACAGCAGCAGCAGCCTGGGTCTTTGAGTCTAGTAAAGCTTGAGCATTAGGCCTGGGAGCTGTGAGTGAGGATTGCTCTTACAGTTTTTAAGAATAGATTAGATAAACACTCAGAGCTGTAACTGGCCAGAACTTCACTGAGAGCACTCCACCCACCCTCTTTACCTGCTTTGCAGGGCTCTAGCTCTGGACAGCCCAGCAGTGGGCATCATACAGGAGCAGCTGCTGAAGTTGGATGCTGCTAGCGGGAGATGGCACCTCATTTTCTTTTTGCTGCAGACAACCCTGTCAAGTGGGCAAAAGGACTCCTGTTTTCAGCAGCAAAAAATGGGGTGTCATCTCCCCCCAGCAGCAACAAACTTCACCGCTGCTCCTATGCACTGCCACTCTTAACAGAACTACATTTCCCAGAACATCCTTCACTCACTGACACAGTCCTGTGCCTCTGCTGCTTGCTGCCAGGGTTAAAGCTGGAAAGGCAGGAGGAGAAAGAGCAGATGAGGTGCTGCCCTTGCTCCATTCTGGATCCCCACACCCTCTTTAGGCATTGCTTGTGGCTCACATCCAATTCACTCACCCACCCATCCTTATGCAAACACTTGTCTAAGATGGATTAGATATGGATCTTCCTACCTTGAGCAGGGGGGTGGACTAGATGACCCCCTGAGGTTCCCTCCAGCTCTATTTTTTTATGATACTATCACTTCTGATACATTTTCCTTGGCCAACAGAGACATTCAGATAGGGAAGGAGTCTGCAGTGGTAACTTTGGGTCTAGGTCTGAGTACAGACTTTCCAGATAGGAAAGAAAGGAGAGAAGGAACAGGAACATGTAGAAGAGAGGGTGATAAAAAACCATAGGGGTTCCTAATCCTTGAACCCAGAGTGAATCTGTTGGAACAAAAGTTTAGTCCCTATGATAAAATTCCAGGGACTGGATAGAAGACATTGCTTAGGCATCAGATTATCAAGAATTTCAGCTTTTTTTGAAAACTTTGTAGTTGGAAGTTCACTCAAGTCAGTCAATATCTAAACTAGAGGATTCCTTCTGGGTGTAAAAGAAAACTGTAAATATTTCTAATTAGCAGGAGCAAAGAGAATTGGTAAGACATTGAATGAAAAGTAGGATTTGCTTTATAATTTGAAATCAAGGATTTTTCATATACAATTTTTACAAAGAAAGCTCAAAGGAAATGCCTTCAGCAGTTATTAAAACAGTTAAGTACAGCTAGTTTATGCTTACTTGTAAAGGTTATAAAACACTTACATGTAGAGCATTTATTATCATTCTTACCACCTGAACACTTATATTTTTACATTGCAGGCTTTGCATGTACTCTGAATTTATTCAGAGGAAATAAAAATATAGTCTACCAAGACAAATGCTTTCCTACCTTCCTGCCACTTCCAAATGGTTATGGTGTGTTCAGGATCCAGCCCTACAGAGAGAAGAAGTTTGCCCGTGGCACTGAAACTGACTGAACAAACTCCCTTTGAATGGTAGCATCTCAGTACAGACAGTGTCTGTTTGCTCATGGCATCCCACACGTGGATAGAAGGAGCTGTAGCTAAACAAATATAAAAACATCAGTTATTTGTTATATATTTAAACTGTATCAAATGTTTTTGGTCCTGAAAGCAAAAAAGGTTTTTAGTACTAAGAAAATTAAAGTGGTTTGGTTAAAAAGGAAGATATTGGCCTCTACTTTATAAACTGAATTTCTGTGAACAAAATCACTAGAGGCAAGTTATGTTGTCCTACTTAGACTTTGTGACTAACCCCTCTCTCCAACTGCTGCTTGACTTTAGAAACACAGCAGAGCCCCTTATATTGGCAGTCCATTCTTCCTTTTATCCCCAGGCCACATATAGACATTCAGTATCTCCTTGGAGACTCACTGCTCTCCCACTAGAAACCAAGAATGTACAGATGTTCAGGATTTTTCTCATAGAGCAAAAATGGCCACTCCAGGAAAAAAGATAAACTAGGAACAACCTTGGTTAAATCTCTCCCAAGATAAATTCTCCTGGGAATTTGAATACCTGTACATGTTCTTTTCTGAGAGAAGCCACAACATGATTCTCAAGCAACCCAGAGTGCTTTGCTCCTGTTCCCCTCAGGGAGACCATACCACTCGCTATACTCTTGCTGCTTCAGCTGAGCAGAGAACAGAATATGCCCCTTCATAATCCCCACATCATGTTACACGGAAACAGACTAAATCTGAACAGTCTGGTTCAGTCAATTGGGCTGCCCTGTGCACTGCTCTCATCTGTCTCCAGGTAAACTGAGGAAGCCAGCAGAGCACTAAAATGTGTTCCCAGGCACCCCATGACACAGCAGCATCAGCATTGCAAGCTCTCTGCTCTTCAGGAACTCAGCATTTGAATGTCTGTTCAGATGTCTCCAGGTAAATTGTCTTGGCCTGATCCACTAACTTAGAAACTTAGAACTCTGAAGCACATGTTCTCTAGATGTTTGTAGCTTGTCAATAATGTAATATCTGAGTGGGGTTTTCAGATGAGATTTCTACAAAAAAATTAAAGGACAAAAGCAAAGTCTCTATTTCTCCAACATGACCATCAGTCTAAAAGTGCAGGCTACACACAGCAGTACATCAGCTGAATCATTGGCTAGTTTATCAATGTAGAAGAACAAGGGTATGTTCTCTGTGTGTGTTATTTCAGTTGAAAATTCTTTAAGATGCAAGAGTATTATTATTATTTGCTATTTCTAGAACAGAAACACCTGGGCTCTGCAGAAATCCCAAAGATCTATGTATCACTTGCAATCTGTGTAGTGCTAGAATGAGGTTGTAACCATGATGGTCTAGGAAAAATGCGAGAGGCTGTGTGTGTGGATGACATTTTATTGGACCAACTGTAGGGCTGAGAAAGACAAAGACAAGCTTTCAAGTACAAGTGCCCTTCATCAGGTTTCCAAGATTGATGCAGATACATTAGGCCTAAAGAGTAACTGAAACAAAGGTTTGTGTAAAACTCCCTACTGTAAATAAAAACAGGATACAAAAGAAATTATCAGGTTGCCAACAGATAAGAAAGATGCATTAAAAACCTGGTAAGTGGAAGAGCAAGACTGTTTAGAAGGGTCATTATCACCTGTGAAGTGCAGAGATTAGTAAATATCACCATAGATTATAACAGGCCATGAAATCATTACCTATGTTAAGTCCGGGGTTCTTATTGTCCAACAGGCTAATTACTTTGTTACTTTGTTCACAGGCTTGTCTTTTGAAAGTTTCCCTGGAGCATGAAAACCTCAAGGTTAGACTGTGAAAAATGTTCTGCCTGTGTTCTAGTGCCTCTGTCCATTATCTTTTTTCTGTGATCGTTCATTCTGGTGCTTAGTTCTTGTCTGATTTCACTCATAGTTTCCATCAGGGCATTTGGTGCACTGAAATCCTTGCCTCTTGCAATCTGTGTCTAGAATAATGAGGCCCCAAACCAGACTGCATGTGAGATTTTTTTTAAATGTCCTTATAATTCAAAAGTCCAAGTCTACTTGAAAATCAATAATAATCTTCACAAAAGGTTAAACTGCTCACAAAACAGTCAGGCTTATCTAAGGGTGGAAATAGATGTTACCTTTCCTCACCTTTAAACTGCCAAGCAAACAGATATCCATACCCCTTGTCACACCATGAACGCCCAAAATTTGTGGCTGTGCCACAGATGGTAATAGATTGTAAAAATTTTTAGCGACGGATATCTGTTTGCTTTTGTGGCAGGAGAGTGCAGGCAGCACAGAGCTGCCCATGCTCTCCAGACACTCTGGGCAGGTACTCTGGAGGCTTGCGGGGCCCAATCCTGGGCACCCTTATGATTCCTAGGCAGTACTGGGCCTCAAGTCCCTAGAGCTCCTGCCTGGCTTTCACCTCTTACAGAGAATATAATGTGGTTCCAGAAACTATATAGGTTTATTAAAAAATATTTAAAATATTAATATTTTTTCAAATATTAAAAAAATAGAGTAGTTCTATGGGGAAGATGGAAGAGAAAGAGTTGTTCCCAGGCAGAAGTAGCTGGAGTTACTTATATACAGCAGTAGAGAAGTTCCTCCTGAACTCTTATGGACAAATACCTTATGGTTGCCTTTTACATAGGAGATGTGAGTTGGGGAAAAGCTCCTTTGTGTTTTTCCTTCCAGCCCCAGAACAACCACAATTTGACATATCCCAAAAAGTCAACATACATTTTAAAGTTTCACCATGCCTCTGCACAGTTAAATATTTTTAGTAAAACATAGAAAATATCAGATTCAGTGTGTACATATGAACATACATTTATGCATCTCTGTGTCAGATGTATGACAAACAACATTACAATGACTACCCAACAATGAATGCACTCACACATGATGGTGATGGATCCTTAAGTTCACAGTTAAACATTTTTTTAATTAAAAATAGCTCAGTCAAGACTGTCAAAAGACCCAAAATGATGCATCACAAAATTGAACTGACATCACAATCATTTTGGATCACTGGGAGTATTTGCAAGACAATCATACAGTATATGTAAAGGGTGATTGCTTTATTCACTCAGTCACCTAGGCCTCCTCAATTGAATTATATAAAATAAATGCTAGCTGTCAGCCCCAATAACTTCTGTCAAAACTGCATGCCTGTACAGGTATGCTACAGTAGCAATATGGTGTTAGGAATAGTTTATCATTGGGCAGCAAGGAGGGAATACGTTTCAGCAAAAATAGCTTTAACATTTTTAGCAGATTGATTTTTGGTAAAAGAAATGTTCTACTCTTACATTTTACTGAACTATTGTAGGTTATGTTCAGTACTGAGGCAATACTATGATTGATATAGGATTTTAATAGGCTTCAAATATTTTCACATAACTTATTGCTCTATAATTATGTAGAAGACCACTAAAAGCCTAATTATACCTGAAGATGTTAAAATTTTATTTCCCTTACCTGACATATCTGCTGAGTCTCCTGTAATGGAAAAGCAGCAGAAAAATAATTAGACCAAGAATAAAATAAGTGCTAAAGAAATATATGCTACATAAAGCGTAATTTCTTAACACACACCTTGAGGTCATCTATTTGTATTATTGCAGCCCCAATACTGCTATTATCATTAAAGTTGAACTATTATTGATGTTTAATGTGTAAGTGTTTAAAGTCATGTCATAAAGTACAAATAAGTAGGATTAATATTTTGTGTTCAATTGTTTGATCATTTTGAGTTACAGAATATAAAAATGTCCTTGGGTTTATAGTCAGGTCTTTCTTGGCTAAATCTCTAAATGAGAAGCATATTTTTCATGTTTCTGGCATGAAAAAAAATCAATTGCCATCTGAACACAAATAAAAATTGGGCTTGGGTATTGATAAGCAGCCTGATCCTAAAAAGTGTGGACTACCCTCAACTTCCATATTTCAGTAGGAAGGGTGAATTATCAACATTATAAAGGATCTAACCCAAATTAGAGAAATAGCTAGGTATTTTGCATGATATTGATGATGATAAATTCATACAGTATATAGAAACTGATCTCAAATTTATTTCGAATGCAATTTACAAAGACTCCACTGTGATACCACTGAAACTTGAAAATCCATTAAAATAATATTTCTGCAAATCTTTGTAGACTGCATTATGTTGAAACTATATTGATTCAAGTTATAGAGTGGTTACAAATAACAGTATCAATTAAACATATGCATATGACTTTAGTGCCTGTTCAAATTTAGAAACTGTTCTGATGAGAAAACATCTTGATTTTATTTCATTTTTTAAACTTCCTTTTCTCCTTTCAAATTCCTGGCATTATTTACATGAAAATGGTTTTATTTCTAAGGAGTCATTAGATCCTGGTCTTAATTGCTCAATGCAGGGTATAAAACAAACACCAAGCAGAAGTCATCCTGTTACAGAGCACAATTATGTGACACACAAACATGAAGTGCCCTGAGGTTCCTTGTGTGTATAAAAAAGCATAGAAGAACATGAAATAAGCCATAAGAATCTGCATGTGGCAGCATCTCCTATTCCAGAGGGGTAAAAATAGAATCAGACAATAAAGAAATAAAGAGGATCAAATGACCCAGGGGCAGCAATAACTTTTCATGTGAATATTCTTGCCAATACATCGTATGTGAAAAATGTCCAGATAAAACTCCATTTAAATGTTTTTCAAAAGTTTTGCATGAAAGAGGTGGGAAAATGAGAAAAGCCCAGAAATACAGAATTATGACTGCCAGATCACTTGTGGGAACCATGCTATCAATCAATGAGAAAATGTTTATTTCAATTATGCAATTATGCAGCTACAGTAAATGAACTCTACTTGTTTGGGTTTTTTTGAAGTAACACACTGTTACTAAAAATGCTGAGTTGAAAATCACATACACTGCACTGCTACAAAATGCTACAGAAACTGAGGTCTGGCAGAGGACACGGCATTTAGAATTATCTGCAGAAAAATAATAAATCTACTTATGTTAAACAAATCTGTCCTTTACATTTTGTTGGGTCTAAAACATGCACTATTCATTGCTAAAAATATTCAAATATATGCAACATCAGTTTGAACTGTGCAAATAACCAAAGCTTTTGTCGTGCTGTATTGTGTAGACTCAGCAGTGTTGATTTAACAATGTGGCTGTAAGGTGTTCTTTGATTTGGTGAATTTACGTGTCAATTTTAACTTTATTTTGATACCTTTTTAATAAAGCCTAGATTCTCATTGCATTGGCTCTGTTTAGACGATTAGCAACATTTAATATGAGTACGCTAGTTATAGAGACTAAAGACCTTGCTGGGTGGGATAAATGCACTACTAGTTTAAAAACTCTTTCTACTTAAGATAAAAAACAGGGTCTTTTATTGAAATGTTTTTCACTTCTCTCTCTTTTTATTAATAAATAATTATTGAGATTATTAGAAAGACTGGACAAAATGATGATGTCCTAAAACAAGTTGGATATTAAGTAAAAGCACAGATGAACTCAGATGAGGCTCAACATTTCCAAATTTTCTCTTTGAAAATACTTCAAACGAAAAATAATCTTTGCCTATTGGTGGCCCCTCCGTAATTTTAGTTTAATTTGATTAAATTACATTCAAACAAAAAAATAAAGAGGACAGGTAACTGAGTAACACTCATGCAAATGGAGATAGCATAATCAAATAATCTCTGTGTTTGAACTCAGATGACCCTAACATGCTTATATGTTAATTTCTTTTTTTTTTTTAAATACAAACATACCTACTTGGCCAGTTGCCACAATGTTGATAAATTTGGGGTGCTGATTTACAGTGAGGCACAAAATATCATCATTATGTTCCTGGTAAAAAGACTGAGAGCCTACAATCAAAAAATAACAACATAGTGCTTGTTAAAATATATATACATATTTGACATTTTAAATCTTTTTAATGTTTATTAGCAAATGACATAATGCTGATTTCATAGTCCAAACAAAAAAATTGAGAGTCAGGGACCCCTATGAGTACTCATCCTCAATCTGATACACCCCTCAGTGAGGCTAGACAAGGTCCTTAAATTCTCTGCCTCATTCTCCTATAAGAAAATTTAAATAAGGGTCAAATTTGTCCCCAAAGCGACTTTAGACTTCATTATTGTTACATTAGCAACAAAAAAGGATCACAAATAGTTGTTTTCTTATGCAGCTGGGGTGCTGTTTGATGATTAGTGGACACATCTACATGATATGCTACTTTGCAGTGGTTACTGCACAGTAGCCCCAGTGAATGCCTTTTAAGTGACACTACTGCACAGTAGCCTAACACTACTGTGCAGTAACGTCTTGGCATGGTTTTTGCCATGCAATTGTACTGCACAATCAGCACCTCATGTAGATGCACCTAGCTGATATTACATGGATCTGACTACTAGGACTCTTCTAGATATTCAGGTAAAGGTGTGATAGGATCTAATGTGCACGGCAGGTGGCGTGATTGTGGGATCCAACATGAGATCCTATCATGCTTTATTCTGGTGTAGGGGGAGACTCATCAGGTAATGGGGCTCCCACCTATAGGGGTGCACTACACACTGCAGCAGCTGGGAGTCCAGCAGCTGAGTGGACTCCCAACCATGGTGCCACCCCATGGGCTGCTGTGGATTGGAGTCGCTTGAAACACTGCCACTGATGGGAGTCTCTCATCAGCTTACAGGACTCTTACCCCTGGGAGCCCATGGGATGGTGCTGTGGCTGGAAGACCCCATAGCTGTTGCCACTACAGTGCATGGTGCACCCCCGCAGCTGGAAGCTCCATCAGCTGATACAGCTCTTAGCCATGGGGGGCATAACTATGCTACACATGCAAATTAGAGCTGGATAGAAAACAGCTATAAAGTTAGTACATGTTTTCCTGCTCTAACTTTATATAGCTGGATGGACCTTTTTATGGTGTGATTGTTAATTTGCATGTGTGGCCTGTCTAAATTAATTATGCAATTAACTAGGTAATTGCATAACACATGTAAGGTGTAGAGGGGGCCCCAGTCTACCTTTTTATTTTTCTTCCTCCAAAAAAGCCATAAAAATTGCACTTATCTTATTCAAGAGGACAATTTATAAACTGGTTCCCTTCAGTCTTGACTTTTATACTTGAATTTTTGTACATGTGAAACAAATACCAAATTAGAATTCTTGCAGCTCAGATTGTATTTTGGGGTTTTTATTGCTTTGAACCCTTTATGTTCTTTCCCTTTTGTTTGAGTCTCCTGTGGGACTTTGTAAAAGCAATAGGAATTCAAGGTCTTTATCTGTAGTTATAGACTTATTTTTTCTTAAAGTTGAGCCTGAAAACATGAGGTCAACTTATAAATTAAGACGTTATGGTATATATAAAACAGTTGTGAAAATGAAAATCTATAAATATAATTCTAGTGCACCCCACTTTAGAAAACAGTTCTGAAAACGTTCTATGTACTATACTAAAAATACATGTAATAAACTTTACATTTGAAAAATAAAATAAAATGAGTGATGTATTTATAATAATGTATAATGCACAGTAAATAATGCATCTGTCAAAAGCATAGTAAATCAGTGTACAGAAAAAGTGCAATGGAAAAATTACCTTAGAACATTCATACACATGCTAAGTAAATATATCTTCTGTGTCTTTAGTCAAAAGTCAAAATATATTTTTAAGCAGTTCAGTCTTCTTAAGTGAACATTTTTCAAGGTAAAATGCTCTAAAAGATCAACCTAGCTGGTAACTTATATACTTATTGAGCATCCACTATATAGGAGGCTGATTGACAATATGTTGTAATCAAATTTTTCCTAAGTGAGATGTTCTGACAGATGACACCATATTTCCATTTGATAAAAAAAATAGATGGCAAAGAATAATATGAATCATAGCTGATACACAGAGACACTAAGTGCTGTGTCACTTAATGGTCACAAAAAAGCAATTTTCCTAACACAGAAAGGAAATAGAGTAAGAAAATATATGCCAAAACAAACACTGTTGATTGTAAGCAACTGTTCTTTCCTTTCTGATAAAGGGACACACTTAAAGATCACAAATTTACTAGTAACACATCTGTAGATAGAGATAAAGCTTTTTTTACACATAAGCTAAAGATATGACAAGATATATGTAGTACTAAGATACTGTAATATTTCTGTGCAGTATTGACCTGATGGTGCTTTACAGACTTGAATCACTGAATAAATCATCTGTATTTTCAAACTACAAATAATAGTAGAGAATCACAAACCCTATAAAAGGCTTAGTCTACTATGTAGCATTGACAATGAAGGCAATGAGTATAAACATAAGGTATAGAAAAACTGAAAGATGAGACACTAGTTCAAAAATGGAAATTAAAAAAAATAGACAATATAAAAATGTTAAAACCTTTGTAAAGTATTCCTAAAATAGGTTTTCTGTAATATATGGAAAATATGATGCTGCTGTGCAACATGAAAACATTCTATTGGAGCTTCATATGGACAATATGCATAGCTAAATAATGTGACCACTGAAACACATTTACATGTTCATGTCTTATTTAAGAAAAGTCAGTGGAAATGATCATAACAAATTAATTTATATTCTGCCTTCCTTTTGAAAAAGCACAAATGAACTACAGAAGCCTTCACTATACACGTCATTTACCCAAACTTGTTCAAGATACATTCCAATACATGTTTCATATGCCTATCATTTTGAACTAGTTTAAGAGAAAATTCCTTGCAGAAATGTGTAAATCATAAAAGTTTTAAATTTAAAATCAAAATGTAGCCTTTTAGGATTTATGAGAAATAAAATTTTACTTCACGCTAGTTTCCGAGGGCATAACAGAAGCTTTAAAGTTTAATTTTACTTTTGACATTCCTCTTTAACCAAAGATATGGCTTAAAATAAATATTAAAGCAATTTAAAAAAAAATGACACAGTAGCAGTGATTCCCTCATTTCTCCTGACAGAGATTCTAAAAGAGCAACTATACTATAGAAGGCACCATGGAAGACTGATGTGCATCTTACAGGGTTGGCACAGCATAAAAATGGGAAGTGATAGTCTCTCTTATATTATAGTTTCTTTGGTAGTACATTGTTGTCAGCAGAGAACATGAACTTTTTTTTTTAAATAACCCTCCTCCCCCCCCAATTCCTGTACACAGGAATGGAGGATAAGAAGCCCTACTGAGTTTCAGAAAGCTAATATTGCAATAATTGGATTCTTACCTCCTTCCAAACACTGTTACCACAGGGATTTGTTAAGATCTATTTTTTACACAGTATGAATAATATATATCATATACCCTTTGACTGTACTTATTTTAGCTAGATTTCCCTCCATAATTGAATTTTTTCAATATTCATAACACATAAATTCATTCTTCCAGATAGCTCTCTAAGATTTAAAGTATACTGATTATCACATGGACTGTTGGCTGAATGTGTGAAATATAAAAATATTACCAGTTTATCCTACCTGTTGCCACATTATAGAGAATTCCAACAGATGCTGTATGATAAATTATATCAGCACCATCATTCAGATAGTGCACATTGTTCCTGCAGTCCTTGCCTCGGTAGCCAAATACCAGCTCCAAAACTAGGTCCTAAAAACAGATTTAAGCATGTTAAGTACTTTAGAAAAAGGATTAAAGATTTCATAGTGCTTTATTTTTAAAAACACATTTTTAGTTGCCTATACTGCCAGGGGAAAACACCTTTTAGGGATACCCAAAAACATCAGGATTGATCAACTTTCTATGGCACCAGGGCACCTCACACTTATCCCTTGTTCACTTTATCCTATAATATTCTTTGGATGTTATGAGAATTTTATTCTTTTATATATTTAGACTAGAGACAGCCTAGAACAGTGACTCTTGGATTAGGGTGCTGGGGCACCTTGGGGTACTATGAGATCCTTTGAAGGGTGCATCAGGAAGTATGATTAGATAAGCAGATAAGGAAAGGCTCAGCCTCCAGGTGTGAGGAGATAAGCAGATTGGGGCAGGCTCAGGATCTTCCTGCCTGGCCATTTCCCCATCCCCACTGCCTGGTCCCCTGCAAAGGGATTGTAATAAATCAATTAGTTCTTGAAATGGGGTGCTGCTCAATCCACAAGTTATGGAGGGTGCCTCAAGTCAAAGGAGGGGTACCTTGAGTCTAAAAAAGTTTCTGGGTCGGCCTTGAAGGCTAAGTACAGACAGTCAAGAAACCCGAGGCTGAACTGATTCAATCTTGGCAGATTAATCTAAACTGCATAGATTGAACCTATAGGTAAGTGAACAGACATTTACTTTTGATTCTGGAAATGCAGTCACATGCCTGCAGTGGTCCAGAGTCCCTGCTCAGCTGGAGCAGACACCTTGAGCCAAAACTAGCACACCCATGCTGCGAGGGGTGGTTTGTCGGGGAGGTGCAAAGAATCCTGGGATACTGGGGGAATGAATTAACTTGAATCTGGAGGGAATCTGGGACAGAAGTTCAATAAACTGATTTAACCTAAATCAGTTAGGTCTGATAATACATCCATCCAGGTTCATTTTAAACTGGTTTTAGCCATCTTGAAAGTAGTTTATGTGCACTGAACTTCTGCTGTGTTACAGATTTGAGTTGGTTTCTGATCACTTATACTGGTTTATGTGTAATTTCTGTCCCTAGCCAAATAATACAACTCAGTTAATTAAATAAATACTGAAGACCTGGACAAGTGACATGCTTAAATGGTTTGTACACCAATGTAAATTACATGGAGGTAGCTTCATGAAGCATGACATTATTGCAGCCACTTGATATTAGGTGACAGGGAGGCAGGTAACAGCTCACTGTTCTTAAGCAAAGTTCCACTTTGGAGTGGAACTGCACAAATGCCATCAATGGCAGGATAACGGCCCCTGGTAGATGTTTACCCCTGCTTCTCTGAGATTGAAAAAGTTGCCCCAGGTTAAGGGTTTACATCATCTGTCCATTTTTTTTTGTTTTGTTCTGTTTTTTACACCACTATAAAGTCCAGTTGCACCACTGTAATACATCAGGTGTTCTGGTCCTAAATCAATCAGTTTCGTTCACCATATTCCCTTAGATTGAAACTGTCATGCTGAGAGAGCACCTAGACAAGAACGGGAGAGAACTCGTACACATTTATAAATTTGTTCAGGGAAAGTTACTGTATTTCTAGGAATTTAAAAGTAAAGATATTTTAGTTTAATGACCTACTGGTAGTATAGTACAAAGCCATATGAAAGATGAGTTCAGATTGAATTTGATCTTTTATTGATACACTATAGTTATCCAAGAGGGACAATGTGCACCTCAGAAGGAGAATATGATGCTTCTGTAACTGATAAGCTTTGAAAAAAGTTGTGTTCAAGCACGTTTGTGGGGGAGATGGACAAGAGACTTTTCAGAGGTCAAGAGAGAAATGAATCTTTTCCCCAAAATGAAATTTGCTGCTGTGAACATACACATGAATAAATATTTTTATCCAACTAATTATTGATTTAATTGAGAAGCACTTCACATTTTTTTTTGCAGAAAATCACAAGAAAGCCCATGTGATTATAGGATGATTAAACTAGAAAGCTTTAATCTTGGCTTTCCTTACCTCTATAGGTCTCTTTTTTTTGCCAACGTTATTTGTTTGAAGTTTTTCAGGCTGTGGCAGTGCCCTACTAACTGGTGGTCTGAAATAGAGAACTGTGAATAAGAAAAGGCCGTCTGTCACCCATTCCATACCAAATCAGTATCTTCTAAACTCATACTGGATAAGGAAAACAGTTAAATTCATGTTGTTTCACTGGCTATTACATACAAGACCACTGTAATAAGAAAATCTTTTTTTTTGATTGCATAAACATTACAAATTGTATTCATTAACTTAAGAAGTTTTTGACTGGTTTCCACCTACCTATTAAACAATTTTGAAGTCTTGTTTTCCACTAAGAAAAAGCCAAACATTCTTAACAATAGATTCTTTCTTCCTTCTTAGTGCAAAAATTAGTGTTACATGAAATTTTGAAGCTTGTGCTCACAATCTAAACCAGTTAAGGTTGTTTGTTCTCTCCAGCTCAGTTTCCTTCAATAAGCGCTAGAATCCCACATTTCTTCCTAAAATCATGAGAACCTCTGATATGTCCTACATGCCTGTCAAAGTTCAAGCCAGTTCTTATCTGAATAAAACTAGTGATCAAAAAGGTCCGTTCACATCTAACCTACCACCCCGCAAATGTATCATTGTTACTTATCGTACATAGTATAGTTCTCACTAATCTAAGAAGTCTCAAGTAATAGTTATTTATTACTTTTATTGAAAAATGATAGAAAGATAATTTGATACAAATGTATTTTTTTTAAATAGTTATATTTTATATTCATAGTATCATAGTATTTAGGGTCGGAAGGGACCTAAACAGATCATCAGGTCCGACCCCCTGCCCCGGGCAGGAATGGTTTCCAGGATCATATCCCCCCAGCCAAATATCTGTCCAGCCTCCTCTTGAAGACCCCCAAGGTAGGAGAGAGCACCACCTCACTTGGGAGCCCATTCCAAAGCCTGGCAGCTCTAACTGTAAAGTAATGTCTCCTGATGTCCAGGCTGAACCTTCTCTCTAACAATTTGTGGCTGTTATTCCTAGTAACCCCGGGTGGTGCCTGGGGGAACAGAGCCTGCCCAAATGCCTACTGGTCCCCCTTGGTGAGTTTATAAACTGCCACCAGATCCCCTCTCAGCCTTCTCTTGTGGAGGCTGAATAGCTTCAGACCCTTTAGCTTCTCTTTGTAGAGCCTGCCCTGCTGCCCCTTGACCATGCAAGTGGCCTTCCTCTAGACCCTCTCAATGCTAGCCACATCCCTCTTGAAGTGCGGTGCCCAGAACTGGACGCAGTACTCCAACTGTGGCCTAACCAACGCTGCATAGAGCGGAAGGATCACCTCCCTGGACCTGCTTGTGATGCATCTATAGATGCACGAGAAGGTGTGGTTAGCCTTACTGACCACTTCCTCGCATTGGCGGCTCATGTTCATCCTGGAGTCAACAATGAGTCCAAGATCCCATTCTGCCACTGTGTTGACAAGAAGGGTGTTCCACAGCCTATAGGCATGTTGCTGGTTCCTTCTCCCTAGATGCAGCACCCTGCACTTGTCTACGTTGAATTCCATCCTATTCTCATCCACCCACCTCTGTAATTTGTCTAGATCTAACTGGATTCTGTCCCTCCACTCCAGTGTGCCCACCTTGCCACACATCTTGGTGTCATCAGCAAATTTGGACAGCATGCATTCCACACCCACATCCAGATCACTGATAAAGATGTTGAACAGTACAGGCCCCAGGACCAAACCCTGGGGGACTCCACTGCCCACATCCCTCCAGGTCGTAAATGACCCATCCACCACCACTCTCTGGGTGTGACCATCTAGCCAATTTGCCACCCATCTGACCATGTAGGAATCAATGCTGCAGTCATCAAGTTTCTTTAATAGAATGTGGTAGGAAACAGTGTCAAAGGCCTTCTTAAAATCCAAGAAGATGACATCCACAATAATGCCCTCATCCAGGGACTTTGTTACCTGATCATAAAAGGAAACCAGGTTGGTCAGGCAGGACCTGCCCTCAATGAACCCATGTTGGTTGCCCCTGAACATTACCTCCCCTGCTGGGCCCTTGCAGATGCGCTCCTTGATAATCTTCTCAAAGGTCTTCCCAAGGACCGAGGTAAGACTGACTGGCCTATAATTGCCGGGGTCCTCCTTTCTCCTCTTCTTGTAAATGGGTACTACATTGGCCCTCTGGTACCTGGCCAGTGCTCCACAAGCGCTCATAGAGCCATGCCAGTGGCCCCATTATGACCCCTGCCACTTCCCTCAGCACCCTCGGATGAAGAGCATCTGGACCTACTGATTTAAAAATGTCCAGCCCCTCCAAAAGTTCCCTAACTAGGTTGTCCCTGACCCTAGGCATGGCAATGCCCTGCCTGGGTCCGTCCACAATTCTAGTGGGGGAAATGTCCAAGTCCCTGTTCAGGAATATGGAGGCAAAGAATTTGTTAAAGAGGTCAGCTTTTTCATTTGCTGCAATCCCCAGTTTGCCAAGCCTATCCTGTAGGGGCCCCACGTTTCCCGGTGCCTCCTTCTTACTTCCTATGTATTTGAAAAAGGACTTTTTATTATCCTTAATTCTGGTCGCTAGCCCTAGCTCCATCTCTGCCTTGGCCTTTCTAACAGCTTCCCTGCAGTTCTGAGCAATGGAGGTGTAATCCTCCTTCATAATAGCCCTTTGCTTCCATTGTTTGTACGCCTCCTTTTTTGCCCTTAGGCATCCCTGGATGCCTTTGCCGAGCCATCGGGGCTTCTTAGCACTCCTCCCCCCCTTGGTACACATTGGGACTGACTCCCTTTGAGCTCGGAGGATCTTCTCCTTGAGGAACAACCACCCATCTTGGACTCCCATCTCATTAAAGCTCTGAGACCCCAATGCCTCTCCTACTAACCTTCTTAGCTTACAGAAGTTGGCCCTCCTGAAGTCAAGGATCTCTGCCTTGCTGCTTGCTTTCACCACCCTGTGCTGGATAGTAAATTCCAGCAGGCAATGATCACTGTTGCCCAGGTGATCGAGTACCCGCAGACCCCTCACCAGGTCACTGCCTGTGGCCACCAAGTCCAGCAAGGCATTTCCCCTGGTGGGACTATGCACCTCCTGGGTTAGGTGGAGGTCCTGTATCCTGGCTAGGAACCTACATGAGTAGTTGAACCTGGGTGACTGCTCCTCCCAGGAGATGTCCGGGTAGTTTAGGTCACCCATGCCAACCACATCCCTTGACTTTATAGCCTCTGTGAGCTGACCTGAGAATTCCAGTTCCAGCTTGTCCCCCTGGCGAGGCGGTCTGTAGTAGATGCCCAATTGTAACCACGTAACCAAACTGTAATCAGCATGCATAGTTTTACTCACTGGTCAAGTGCATACATGTTTAAAACTCCTGAAAATATATACTTTATTGACAAAAGTTAGGTAAATATTGCTACTCACTTTGCAAGAGGATAGGGGTCTGATTCTAGATAAAAACATTTGTCCAGCTAAAAAAAAATCTTCTAAATAATCAGCAAAAAACCCTCCAAAACACTCCAGTATTGCCATATTTTCTCATGTACACACCCCCCAAAATATAATACACATCTTGTTTTTGAAAGGCAGAATGCAGAAAGCAAGATGTTTCTACTCAGTTGCTTACTACAGAGAAGCAGCTTGGGAGAAGAATCTGCTAACTGTGTTCACTGCTTTTGATCTCTGAGAGTTAGGTGCAGATTTTCCTATCACTCTTGCCTATAACCAGACAGAAACTATTCTTGCACACTATATTTTACACACTAACATCTCCAGCAGCTGGTTTTTAGGAAAAAGTGTGGGATATATGTGAGAAAACATGGCAATTCAAAACTGGGGTTAAAAAAATATTTTTGTGAAGTCTACATTATCCAACTTAGCTAAGGAATCCTCCATTGGTATAATGACCAAGGTCTGGACATAAGCAGCAGCATCTTTGTTTTTAAATTTTTCTATATCCTTTTCCCAATAGAATGCATTTTGTCTATTATAGCGCTTTGTATTTGGGGTGATAATTTCAATCACTATTGTGGAATATGCTTCAAACTCTTTCCATAAATCAACAGACTGTATAGTAGGGCTGTGAGAAGTTTCGGGTGCTGATTCAATTTGGAAGAGATTCTGTAGCATGAACCGAAGTAATGTAACTAATGTTAACATAAAGTATAATAATAGTGAAATGTAACCATGTTAGTCTTGTCTGTAAGCAACTTGATGACTTCATTTTGTATCCTCTGCTTGACATAAGTAAATGAATTCTGCATGGCCTTTATGTATGAGTGTGTGTGAAAGGGTAAATGGTGAGAGAATGGCATAAAGAATAGAAAAAAAAGATTTAACTGTTTATGTAAGCAACAAGGTGCCAAATGTGTAAGTTACCAGTCAGTAAACTAATTAATAAATGGCTGAAGAATCCCTTTGAGGCCTACAGCACAAAGGAAATAATGAGAGGGAGGAATGCACACATCCTGCCAAATGGGCAGCAAGAGCACTCCAAGGCTGAGATACCAACTTTGATGACTAAAATGACCTCGGGCTGAGATGAGCAGAAAACGTATGAGGAACAACTCCAAAAACAGAAACTGGGTATGAAAAACCCCAAAGTGCTGAAGCAAAGAATACCAATCCCTATAAAAGAGGACTTAAAAAATGCCAAGTTAGGTGAGTCTCTCTCTCAACCTGACTCCAAAGCTGCTATCTCTGGACCTTTCTCTCTCTCAATAAGGCCTGGGCCAGCCACCCAGTGCTATTATTAAACAACTGCTGCTGGTAACTATAATGTCTGAGTGGAATGGTTGTTTTGTGTTTGTGTGAGCCTGTGTGTAATGATGTGCATGATGATCTGTGTGTGTCTATATAAGTGGTGTGTCTGAACCTCTATGTCTAATTCATGTAATCAATAAACATGGCATTTTGCCTTACCCCCTTTATAAAGTCTCGCTCTTGATTTGGCAATTAAAATTTAAAGTAACAATCTGACCCGATTTGGTGGCCAAATCCCCATCGAATCAGGGGACCAATAAAAAGGTCCAGATCGATTCAAAGCTCTCTGAATCTTTGGAAAAGATTCGGAGAACTTTTATG